CTGGAGGAAAGCCTCATTGAAAACAGTGGACTTATCACACATTAAGCCTACAACGAAATTGCATTCCCTCCCCATTTTTTTAAGCCACACATATTGGCTGCAAACACCTAGAAACTTAAAATGCAGAGAAGGTTGCGGAATAATGCTGTACGATTTCCACCAAAACAAAACCTTCCTTCCCCTCCATCACGCTCAGGGCTCTGAAAAACAAAGCAGTGTTAGTTTTCGTTTTAGTTAATCTTTATCCATCGAGAGACAACTAGTTTGAGAAATAAAAAAAGAACTCTGCAACGTGATACCGCATGCGTGCAATGAAGGGTTAAAAGAAAGCCAGGAGTTTGCAAGGCCTGACGGGAGTTGTAGGCGAAGAGCTTCATGGGAATTGTAGTTGGGCTGTTTCCTGCAGCATGGCTGCTCTCCTGTAAGGTAAGCCAGTTTTTTCTCTGCTATGCCCTGCTTTGCAAAAAGGCAAATGGCAACATCCCAAGACAGGACGGTTTCCTCTCCTGATTTCAGACTTGCGGGGCGTCTCCTTCTCCCGAGACACTGAATCAGCACTTTATTAACAGGATGTGGCCATGCTAACTCAGTTTTGGAAAGAGAGTGTTGTAAGTATCGTAGCCTAAAATTCCTGCCCAGACATAACAGCTGCTGTTTGCAGTGCACTCCTTTTTTTGAGGCGTTGGGTGGTGGTGGTGGTGGAGCAAAGGCAGCAAAAAATAGACACCACGGTCCTGGCTTTGATCCCGTGTATAATCTAGTTGAGATTCCTACACTGCAATGGGGTTGGAGTAGATGACCCTTCTAGCTCTCCAATTCTGTAATTCCATGATTCTATGAAAACAACAGCAACCTTTTTTTAAAAAAAATATTTTATTAAATTTTCTTTCAGATATTCAGAAATTTACAGAATAAAAAGTAGAAAATAAAAGTAAGAAAAAGAAAGTATACATAAATTCCAACTTTCCAAAATATTTTAACAATTCCAATCGGACTTCCCCACATCTTCCGAATTCTGCGTTCTTTGCAATTGTTACATCAGCAATTTGTTACCTTATTTCATGTCTTACTGTATCTTTCAAATACTATGTTTCCAAATTTAAAATACTGTATCTCAGTTATTTATACCCTGTAAATAAACATAGTATGGTTACTTCATGTTGTCTACCTCATCTTTCTTATAACTTAGTTTCCAATTCACCTATTCAAGTTGCTGAAGCAAAAGTTTCCTAATCGTACACATTCTTAACATTCATACAACTTATAATGTTTTTGCAAATAGTCCTTAAATTTTTTCCAGTCCTCCTCCATTATTTCTTCTCCCAAATCACGGATTCTGCCAGCAGAAAACAACAGCAACCTTGAGCATGTTTATTTATCCATCAGTACCGCTTCCATGAAGGGACGTGGGTGGCGCTGTGGGTTAAACCACAGAGCCTAGGACTTGCCGATCAGAAGGTCGACGGTTCGAATCCCCGCGATGGGGTGAGCTCCCGTTGCTCGGTCCCTGCTCCTGCCAACCTAGCAGTTCGAAAGCACGTCAAAGTGCAAGTAGATAAATAGGTACCGCTCCAGCGGAAGGTAAACGGCGTTTCCATGTGCTGCTCTGGTTTCGCAGAAGCAGCTTAGTCATGCTGGCCACATGACCCGGGAAAAACTGTCTGTGGACAAACGTTGGTTCCCTCGGCCTATAGAGGCGAGATTGAGCGCCGCAGTCCCAGAGTCGTTCGCGACTGACCTAACGGTCAGGGGTCCCTTACCTTTACCTTTTTATTAGGTAGCATCAGTCATGAGCTTTACTGACCACCTTTAGTTCACATTGGGCTAAGGCAGTTTGGTGGACTGCCCCAGAACTTGGGGGTAGTGGTGATGGAAGAACTGCAGGAAACAGCTTGTAATGGGAGCAGAGCCGTACAAGAACAGCATCTGTCTGCAGCTGAAAGAGCTGAACAAAATTGCCACAGGAGTGAATGCAGCCCCAGGGAAATGGCAGACAGCCGCTTCTGCTAGGTTCTCAAAGACTGAGAACAGATTCTGCCATCTCCAGATGGCCCCCGTGGTCCTAAAAAGAGCTATTTGTGGCAAGCAATTGATTCCACTTCAGACTCCGCTCTCCTGTTTACTGATTGTTCAGAAACAGGCTTTGACAACATTGGACCATTTAACGGCAAAGACACTCCAGCCCTCACATGGCTTATGAACTGAGTTGTTGTGTGTCTAGTCTCCAGGGCAAGTGTTAGGCAGGCTTGATCTCCCACACTTTAACCATTAAGGACTGTCGTTAATAGCATAATCCAAAGGCCCACCATAGAGTCACGCCATGTCTGGCATTGTCCTGTGATTCAGAAGCCTTTATAGCAGGGCCTTCCCACCTTCTTAGGGCACAGAGGCAATTTGAAATTATAAGGGCACACTATTGCAAACCCCAGATTTAGGGAACCCCAAGCTTCATCGCAGTCTATTGGTTATCAATGGGATTTCTTGCAAGTCTGGATGGTCATCTAACAGAAACAGGAAAGACCATAGAATAAGTGATACAATGTTACAATAAAATGCTATTATTGCTGAAGAAGGAAATGTCCCCAAAAGTTAAAATTAGCAAAATAATGTTGTAAAGGGAGAAATGCAAAGGCAAGACAAAGTGCATTTCTCCAATTAAAATATGGGAAAGGTAAAGGGACCCCTGACCATTAGGTCCAGTCATGGCCGACTCTGGGGTTGCAGTGCTCATCTTGCTTTACTGGCCAAGTGAGCCGGCGTACAGCTTCCGGGTCATGTGGCCAGCATGACTAAGCCGCTACTTGGCGAACCAGAGCCAGTGCAAGGAAATGCCATTTACCTTCCTGCCAGAGCGGTACCCTATTTATCTACTAGCACTTTTGATGTGCTTTCGAACTGCTAGGCTTGGCAGGAGCAGGGACGAGCATCAGGGAGCTCAAACCACCGACCTTCTGATCAGCAAGTCCTAAGCTCTGTGGTTTAACCCACAGTGCCACCCGCGTCCCTTCCAATTAAAATAGTGATGTCCCTATTTCATAAGAATAATAATCATTTTATCATTTATATCCCAACCGATCTGACTGGGTCACCCCAGTCCACTCTGGGTGGCTTCCAGCATATATAAAACTTTTAAAACATTTAAAAGAACTTCCCTATACAGGGCTGCCTTCAGATGTCTTCTAAAGATTGTATAGTTACTTATCTCCTTGGCTCGGGGGTTGCATAATTCCATACCCTCCACATTCTCCGATGAAAATAGGGACGTCCTTAGGAACAGCGGGAGATTCCGGGGGCATATCAGAAACTGGGATGGTTTCTATGAATCTGGGACTGTCTCTGGAAAATAGGGACACTTGGAAGGTCTGTGACAAGCTTATAAATGCTAAAATTTAAAAGTATGGTTCAGGAACACAAATGAGATAACAAAATAGCAAAACTATAAAGTCACTCATCAGCCCTGAAGAACAGATCTAAATGGGTCAAAAACATTAAAGGTCTGGGTGTTAGAAAACAGAGCTGAGTCACAGTACAAAATAGCTCTAAAGATAACTAATTCACTTAGCCCATGTAAAAAATATCTTATTCACGATGCATCAGAGCAGTTTGTACACCTGATCCCTATAACAATAGATGTTCCTGTTCTCGCAAGAATACCCTCTCCAGTTAGCCAAATATAGCAGCAGACAGATCAGTTAAAATTCAACAATACATCTACATTAGAAAAAAACCAAACACATTACTAATAAGGCCACCATTTAAATCTGATTAAACCATACAACAAGCCTTTCAAAAGTTCTTATGACATTAATATGAAAACAAGCTGCAGTGCTATTAGGTAAGAATTTGTAAGACCTAAATCTCTGTGACAATAACACTCCAACTTGTCAAATGCTTGCTAGAGATTGCCATTTAACTGGTGGAGAAGAGTTTCACATGCTTATATAACACGGGATGAAACTGGGCCACCCATCGGAGAACACTTGCTACAATCACGTGACATATGCAAGCTCACTTTGGACATAGTGGCAAACCACAGTTTACTTTAGCATATGGACATTCTGCGGACAAAACAGTGCACATTGATGTCAATGTATGCTTCATATCTGTTCAAAGGAGACCCCAAAACGATGTTGGAAGACTGGAATGAGCTTGCCAATCCACTGTCCTGTATGGTCATCATTTGATTTAAAAGTCTGATGCCACAAATACGCTGCTGCCTTTCACGTTTACTCACAAATAGTGGGGGAGAGGCCCAAGGGAAGTTTAAATGGTACATGTGAGATCTTTTGAACAGGAATGACTCATAAGAACATGAAAACCACCTGCTGGATCAGAACAAAGACCCATCCCAATCCAGCTGTTAGCTATTTATTATGAGTTATTCAGAGGGATACATCCGTTTCACCCTTGAACCTGTGTGATAAAGTAGACACAAGACTTGAAGATGAATCTTTACTTATCAGGTTGGCAATAGTTTAACAATATTATTCATATATTATTATTATTAGTAGTAGTAGTAAAAGGTAAAGGTACCCCTGCCCATACGGGCCAGTCGTGTCCGACTCTAGGGCCCATCTCACTCAAGAGGCCGGGGGCCAGCGCTGTCCGGAGACACTTCTGGGTCACGTGGCCAGCGTGACAAAGCTGCATCTGGCGAGCCAGCGCAGCACACGGAAATGCCATTTACCTTCCCGCTAGTAAGCGGTCCCTATTTATCTACTTGCACCCGGGAGTGCTTTCGAACTGCTAGGTTGGCAGGCGCTGGGACCGAGCAACGGGAGCGCACCCCGCCGCGGGGATTCGAACCGCCGACCTTTTGATCGGCAAGTCCTAGGCACTGAGGCTTTAACCCACAGCGCCACCCGCGTCCCGTTATTAGTAGTAGTAGTATTTCTTTATTATTAACTTGTTTCTGCATTTTCAGGTTTACAAACAACAATAAAGAAAACAATTAAAATATAATTGCCGAATCCTCTTTGACTTCCTCCCCCCTTTTGTGGATCCTTGTGCCAGCATTTTCTCCTGCGACTCTTCTATTACTCCAATTTTATCAAATCTTTAAATAACCCACAATTAAACTTTTACCTACAAGTGTTAGTTATATCAATCCTACTAATGATTTTTATTGTTTACAATAGTTTTTTTGATACAATATATATACTTTCCCCAATATATACTTCCTCATTCCTTATTAAAATTTAAATCTTCCTGGTTCCTAATTCTTCTGGTCAGTTTTACCATTTCAGCATAATCCATCAGTTTTATTTGCCATTCTTCCTTGGTAAGGACTGTCTTTTCTTTCCATCTCTGGGCTAACAAAGTCTGGGCAGCTGTACATAAATAGTCTCTTCTGGTCACTTAGAATTTCGGCACCTAGAATTCCTAAAAGAAAAGCTTCTGGTTTCTTAGAGAATTTTATTTTTAACATTTTTTTCAACTCATTGCATTCAAATATAATAAGCCCAATGCATTTCTCTCCCTTGAGCCCAAGAGAGGGTTTAGTCATTTTCCTTTCAAAACTCCTTTGTAGTAGTACTTAAGTAATTACTTCATAACTTACCTGTCCACACAAACTTCTCCAGACAGCGTCTGCTTGAAGTCTTCACACTCCCATGTTCCCAGTCAGAATGAATTGACGACAGGAATAACCAACTGTCAACTCCTTTCCCCAATACCATTTATTCTTTGTGAAATACAATTACAATATAAATACCATTCAAATACAAACAGTAGCGAACCTGTCAGGTTTCCGGGTTCCCAGCTTGATAACACAGTAAGCGTAGATAATTAAAAAGGAGGATTTATTGCAAAAACAAACAGATAGCTCCGGACCACCATATAATGCCTTTTTGTATGTTCTTTTCACTAACATATGGATTTCAGTGCATGTGGCCCTAGGATATGCTTATTTGTACACATTACTTTCCTGGA